ATCATTCAGATTCGCGGATTTCTAATAAAACACGGTACTTTTAAAACAGTGCAGATAGTACGCGAGTTCTCCTTCAGTGTCTCTGAAGGGGATTTGAGTAATTTCATTGTCCTCAGTTTTGCACTAACTAGTAGATTTATACTAAAACAATTAGGTTATTCACTATCAATTTTTAGTGGGGCTGGGGTGGATGCAACACAGATATTTTTGGAAATTTTGATACGCGAATTAATTCTATGCTGCTGATTTTTGATATTTCAAAGTTTGCCCATGCCGGTCAACGTTGCCATGGCAACCGCAACCACAAAATTACAACGATGGCTATGATAATTTTTTCTTGATTTGGATGTTTTTTTTAGTTTTTTTTAATTTATTTTGTAAAGTCAAGAAAAAAGGGAAGGGGTTGGGGTTTGTATGTATGTCGCAGGATTGATTCTAACGTATGTTCTTTTGTATAGGTCAGAGTCCACATCAGTTCCTTTCCTCTACAAACATCCCATTATTCCCACAAAGACAACCCTGACAGAGAGTATCTGGAACCAGGATGGTCAGTACAGAGAATGCACTACGGTTACTTAGAGATGAACGAGCCAGCTGTTCTCGAAAGGGAACGCGAAATTATAAGGTAACTGTAATAGCTCAAAACAAACCAACAGTTAAATGAGTTTTAAGGTCTTAGGTAATAAAAAATAAATAATACCCTTTCAACATAAAAAACGAGGAAATACACCGAGGAAAAAAAAGAAGGAAATTGTAAAATACAAAAAGTTCACAAGGACTGCCAATGGCAAATTTGAAAACTTAAGCGTAAACTTTTTATAATAAAGGACAATGTCGACAGGTATTAAAGACATCAGTTTGCGGTAGTTTGTACATCTCTACTAATTGCACTAAACGTATTACTTTCGGCGCTGTCATAATAGAGAATCATTTTATTTCCTTAGATGTCAGCAGGAAAACACAACACCAATTCCACCAAAACTGAAAGCTCACATCCTACTACACACATACAGGGACATCTTCAATGGAGAATTCAACCTGAGCTTTGCACTACCTCGCACCGACACTTGCGCCACCTGTGATAAACTGGCCCTTAAAGTGCGATCATCCGAGGGCGCAGAAAAAGAAAAACTTGAAAAAGAACTCGACGAACATCACAAACTTGCCGAATCTGCATTTAACCCTTTTCCTTCTAAGCCCCGATCTAATCGGGGCAAATGACGTAATGCCAGTTCTGGCTGTTTTTCAACTCAGCGGTCTTCCCCCCCTAAATGTAAACGTGCGCATCGCGTTCTCGGCAAGAAAAGCTTTCATTTGATTCGAAGCACGTGGAAATAGGTAAAAAGCTGCAGTTTTTATGAATTTTTTTCGGCCGAAATATCGTTAAACTTTAAACATGGCAACACGAAACCAAAGGGAAAGGAGAGCGCCTGAAAGATATGGAGTTATTTCGCTTGGAATACCGTTCGACGGCGTAAACTCCGACCTAGAATTGGAAGAAGAAGAAATTGAGCAGGCTGGCGAGTTAGGATCGTCAACAAATCCGTGTATTCTTGAGCGAAGACGAACTTGAGGAACCTCAAGAAAAAAGAAGGAGAAGGGGAAGAGAAAGAACTGAAACTTCAAGTGTTCGTCAACATGTGAATTCATCAGAGAGCGATGGAAATGACACTGACTCTTCTTCAAATTTGTTTTGCGGAAGACAGCAACGATGAAGACTTTGAGGGCTTTCCAAATCGTACATTTGAGTGGAGAGAACCTGTTGGAGAAATAAATGCCCCACCAGCATGTGTTCAAGCGACAGGCGCAAAAACAGAACTGCCAGAGGATGCATCAGCCGCGGAATTCTTTCAGCTTTTTTTTGACATGGAATTGCTTGAATACATTGTTCGTGAAACAAACAGATTTGCTGAGCAAAGCCAAGTTGAAGCAAAGAAAAAAGAAACCCGCTTTGGACTAACCCTTTGACTGTGGCTGAATTCAAAGCCTGGCTTGGTTTGCTCGTTGGCATGGGAATCAAACAGTTGCCCCAAGTTTCACATTACTGGTCAAAAGAGTGGGTTTTAGGAGTCCCATCATTTGCATCTGTTATGACAAGAGACAGATTTTTTGTAATTCTGAGGTATCTTCACTTCAGTGACAATTCTAAAATGCCAGCTCGAGGACAACCAGGATTTGACAAGCTGTACAAGGTGAGGCCTCTCTTACTTTCCTTGAAAACACGTTTCAAACAACAGTACAGTCCTCACTGCATTCAGGCAGTTGATGAAGCCATGATTGCTTACAAAGGTAGAACATCTCTAAAACAATACATGCCCCTCAAACCCATCAAAAGGGGGATAAAAGCTTGGGTCCGAGCTGACTCTGTGTCTGGATACATGTGTGACTTCAATATTTATGAGGGAAAGGACGACATACAAGGAAAGAGGCTTGGATATAAAGTTGTAACAAGCTTGTGTGAAGAACTGTATGACAAAAACTATTGGATTTTCTTTGACAATTTTTTTACAAGTATCCCTCTCATGGAAGATTTATTAGAAAGACAAACCTTTGCTTGTGGAACTGTGAGGGCACATTCCAAGGGATTACCTCAAGAAATAATACCAAAGAAAGAAGACAAGCTAGCACGAGGACAGCACTTGTGTCGAGTGAAGGGACGTCTTGTGGCTCTTACTTGGCAGGACAAGAAACCTATACATTTTTTGAGTACAATCAACCCTGCCCCAAAACCCGATGATCAAGTGTTTGCGAAGCGTAGGAAAAAGGATGGTACTCTTGAAGATGTTCCCTGCCCAGAAGTTGTACAAATGTACAACAAATACATGGGAGCAGTTGATAGAAATGATCAAATGTGTTCTTATTTTACTGTTGGCATTCAAACAAAGAAATGGCCTCCAAGGATTTTTTTCTTTTTGCTGGAGAGAAGTATTGTAAATGCTTTTATTTGTGAATCGGAATCAACAAATCATGATCCCCGCACTCACCTGGAGTTTCGTATTGATCTTATACACAAACTTGTAGAAAATTATCATGGAAGAAAGGATCAAGGAAGGCCTAGAATTAATCCCCTTGAGTCCAGATTTACTGAGAGGCACTTCCCACAACATGTACCCTATAATGAAAAAGGACGGCCGAAGGAGCGAGAGTGTGCAGTGTGCAAAGCTGCTGGGCGGGTCAAGCGATGCTCATTTATGTGCCTGGATTGTAATGTGGGACTTTGTGTGGCCCCATGCTTCAGGAATTATCACACAAAATAAAACTGGAACATTTTGATTGAGTTTATCTGCAAATGACAATTTCTAGTTCACTTAGTAACAGTCCTCGAGTCAGTGAAAATTTGCATATCTTATAAGCCTACTTTCTGGGACAAAATGAGACACAGGAATCAGTTCTTGCTAATTTTATTGGTTCCAAAGCTTGTTAATATGCTGTAGATTGTAAAATTGTAAAATATGTTAGTAGCCTATTGAATAATCCTGAAATTGTAAGACAACCAGTTAGTTTTTCATAATTCTAGTGATATATTAATAGGTTCTGAATTTTTTAATGATTAACTAATGCATTAAATATTAATTCCCTCATGGTCAAAAGGTAGCAAATTTTTCAAGCTTTAAGAAAATGTAAAGGTCTTAGAGGTTTTCTTGAAAGCTTGCAAGAAACAAAGAGCTTTTCTATAGCAATGTCAAAACGTAAACAAAACCTTCAGAAAAACTCAGAAAGAAAAGGGTTAAATGCGTAAAGACGACAAGGCATGCGTGGTGAGGAGCTGGGTTGGAAAGCCCCGTCCAGTTGGCTCTTCAGGAGTAAAACACCGCAGTAAAGATGCCGTAGACATGATAACTTATGATTTTCAACAAAATCTGGAGACCCCGAACTTACAGCATAACGATATGTTTTATAAGAGGCAGCTGTGGACCTACAACTTTGGTATCCACGATTGCGTGTCCAACCAGGGCTACATGTTTATGTGGGACCAGACGACAGCCAAACATAGGTCAGTGGAGGTGGCAAACTGCCTGTATGATTTCCTCACTGAGTTTAACACTGGAGCGAGGTAAGTTTTAGTTTTTTGTATTTTGGAACATCGGTCGGTTGCATCTTAGCGTAAACCTCGAACCCTGCATGTTTGATTTTCAAATTTAAAAGTTTGAAGCGACGTTTCGCACGAGTGATCACAACAGCATTCTAGTATATATCTCTAAAGCACTTTGAAAGAATTTGACAAAACTTTACTTAGAAAAGAAACCTATGTTTGTTAAAAAGCGTAGCAACGCCATAAGGGTTCAATCTGCAACAGTCAAAAATACTGTTTAGAGTTTTGGCGAGTTTTATTATCGCCAGAACAATTCCGTGATCGCCCGTGCAATAAATAAAGTGATTACCATATTTATTCGATTAAAAACCGTCCTCGAATAAACGCCGCAGTTTAGAGCAGAAATGATTATCATAATAAACGCCGCCCTCGAATAAACACCGCATCATCAAAAAGCAAATGCAGCAACATATAATCGAGTTTGTGCAAGCCTACAAAATTTATGTTTCTTCATTGTAACAATGTTTTAAGATCAGTACATTTGAAAATCGAAACACGAGAACAATATACGAAACATGGTTTTTTTTTTAAATCAAATATTCAGTTAACATACTATTCTTTGCAAAAAACAAATTGGATTTTAAATAAACTGCGCCCTCGAATAAAGGCGGCACTCGAAGGAAGAATAATTTAATAAACGCCGCGGTGTGTAACAGAATAAATACGGTGATAAAGTGCATCTGTAATCTGCGTCAAATACACGCTCAACTAATAACTTACGAAATCATCTGCTGTTAGGGAATTCCAAATTTCTAAGCGGCGAGCCAAGTATGATAAGTGTAGTTTTCCCATTATATCGAGGTTTCCAACAAGGTGAACCCTCAATTTCGCGAACAAATTCACCTAGTCCCCAGTCATTGTTAGATACAGGTCTCACTATAACACCACATTATTTTATTCTGTCTTT